CGTCGGTGTGCTTGAGGCTGCGACGTTCCCTCTGCAGTTTAGTTGCTGGTTTGGGGGAAGGAACAGGGCTCCTGCGGCCGCTCGCCAGGCCTCCGTGTCCTGGTCCAGGGGCTGCCTTCCTCCCAGGTCCCGGCAGCATTGCCAGGTGCCCTGTCCCGGCTCCGCCTCCCCGGCCCCTCCACCGTGTGACTCAGGACCCACAAAGCCAAGGCCCCCCAGCGCCGGGCCACACGGGGTCCCAGGGTGGGGCAGCCTGGGGTGGGGGAGCTCCTTCCCAGGCTGCACGAAGCCCCCCAGCCCCCAGCCCTGCCACATGTGTGCCTGGCCTCCAGAGAGATCTGACAGCTTCCGACCTGGGGGGTGGAGGCCTGGGGGGCGGGACCCTGGGTGGGCAGCCACCCGGAGCTGAGCTCAGTCCCTCCACCACTGTCCCTGCCCAGGGTCCTGCACCTAAAGGGGCTGCGGCTCTGGGGGCTTCAGACCAGCCACCTGGCCTCTGCCCCCGCCCATGAGGGACCAGGCTTGAGTCCTCCTGGAACGGAGAGGAGGCCGTACCCTCAGCACCTCAGGTGGACTCGGCCCTGTAGGTGGTGGTGGGTGAGGCTGACCCCCCCATCTCCCCGCTGGAGTTTCCTGGATTTGCTCCCCGACCCAAATTTGCACTTTAATTTGACCCTCCCTGGGGACCCTCGGGCCCGCCTGTCCCGGCTGTGGCCAGAGGGCTCCCTCTGTCTCCCTCTCTCTCCTCCACCCCAAAGTGGGCACGGCCGCCCGCCCAGGGCCAGGAAGAGAGGGTGCACCGGCCGGCGGTGGCCACACAGAGAAGGCCTGGCCGCGGCTCAGGCCAGCACAATGTCCGTGACCTCTGCCCCTGAATTGTTTGTCGTCCGTCTGCTTTGCTGTTCTGGGTGAGGAAGGCCCCGTGCAGGTGGAACTTGAATCATTCAATGTGAATGGGTCTGAGCTCTCCCGGCCCTGGGCGGCCAGGCCGAGCGTTTTGCACTAAGTGTCCCGCGGTGGACGTGGGTCCAGAGCGTTGGCCGGCGGGCGTGGCTGATGATTGTATGTGCTGGCGCCCCCGCCCCGAGTGTCCCTGGGGGGCACGGCCTGGCTCGCGGGGCCTTCCAGAGTGCCTTAGCACCTTTGATCCTTTCCCTGTGACCACACCTGCCTCCCCTCCTCTGTTTACACGACGACTCATTCCTGTCCTGTCGGCTGACCCTGACCCCCGCCCTGTAGACGGAGAGACAAGCCACTCATACCTGTGAGAAGCTGCGCCTTCACCCCGAGCTTGACTGTTAGCGACACGCACCTGCCACGCAGCCTGTCAGAGAGCGAGTCCTAGCGGCACCTCGAGGAGGAGCGGGCACTGCTGTGTGTCGCTGGTGCGGCGGCCAAGGGCCTGGGGTCCGGCCGCGCCCCACCCTCCTGCAGGAGGCGGCTGGGGTGGTGGAGTGCAAAGGTCCCTGGGTCCCACGGGAGGGACCGGCGATGGGACGGATACTGTGAGCGCGGTGGGCCGCCCGGCCGGCTGCCTCGGTACTTGAATTCTGTCTTGTGTTCTGCACTGTGTCTGGCCTCGGCCAGAGTTCTCTGTGGTCACTAACTGTGCATTGGATCCTGTTGTCTTACTTGCCCTGACTGTGGACGCAGCCGCGGGCGTGAGGCCGGGGAGAGCCCTCGGGGCCGGGCAGGGCTCCTGAGCCAGGAAAGTTCCTTCTGTGTTTGTGTTGAGAGCTGGGAGGGAGACGGGAGGGGAGGCTGGGGTCCCTGGGGGGGACTCCGGGGTGCGGCCCTGGCCTGTCCCCAGTGGGTGGCAGGATTGGTCCAGGGCCGGCCTCCCCGCAGTGGCTGACGGGTGATTTTTATGGCAATATCTTGCCATAGGGAAAGGCCGATTACCCACAAACCACCCGAAAACTGGGAGAAAGCCTGTTGCCTCGGCCGCAGTAACCCCCCCACCCCCGCAGAACGGGGGTGCAGGTGCCCTGAGCTCTAACTGCTGCTGCCGGACCCGGCACCGGCCGCCTCCACACGGCACCCCACAGGCACCGGGGACCGAGACCGTGAGGGCTGTGCACGCTGTTTCTAACGTGGCAAAGGTTTTGGGTTGTTTGTTTGTTTGTTGTGTTTCTTTGGGGGAAAAAAACCTGAAAAGGAAAATTATGCAGAATCTAAAGATTCGGATTGGACCACCTGCTCAAATTCTGATCAGTCGCTTCCTTGTTCGCGTTTTGCACATGACTGTAATTTTTATGTCCACAGAAGCCAAAACTCGCAATACTATTTTTAGCAGAAAAAAAAAAGAACTAAGTGTAAAATCGTATAAATATTTTTGACTTGAATCTTTGGATGACAGTGGGTGCAAACAGACCCTTCATCCTCCGGACGGGATGTTTGGGGCACAGACTTTTCACAGGAGCCGGTGGTTGTGAGGCCGGCGCGGGGGGTGGGACGCTGCAGCTCTCGACTGTTCACAACCAGTAACCAAACACGCACGCTGTCCTGGAGGAGGCGGCTGCACGGAGGTACCACTGCGCTCGCCTCGGCCTCAGACGCTCGCTTTTTTTTTTTTTTTTTTTTTTAAGAAGGAGGAAACCTTGGTTCTCGCTGCGCCAGGCTCCGGGCTGTCGCTTCTTAGCCGTGGCTGACGCTGTACCAATAACTCAACCCACAGACACGCCCGCCGGCGACCACCCAGCAGGGCTCCTGGTGTGCTCAGAGCCGCTCCGTAGAGTGGACGTGCGTTACAGACAGACAGAAGGACATGACTGGTCATTGTAAAGCGCTTTGTAAAGTTCACATTTACAGAATAATAAAGTCAGTTCAAACCCGCGTGGCCTGGGCTTTGCTTGGACGGGAGGGTTGAGGGGGGACATTGAGAAGCCAGGGAGGGGGCTGGGCTGCTAGGGGCAGAGTGACCAGCTGTCCTGAGCTGCCCTCAGGCCCCGGGAGCCCCGGGGAGGGGAGGCTCACTGTCCACTGTCCACACCTGGCCCCTCTCCTTTCCCCCCATGTCTCCTGGGGGAAGGGGCTGCTGGGCAGGATGGCCTGGGGTCATGGCCTGGGTGAGGGCCTCCTTTCTTCCATTTTTACAATCCTCACCCGAGGATATTTTCTACTGACTTTTGGGGAGAGTGGAAGCGAGAGGGAAAGACAGAGAGAAACATCGATGTGAGAGAAACACATCGATTGGTTGCCTCATGCACGAACCCCCAGAGCCTGGGCTGGGGAGGAGCCTCAAACCAAGGTATGTGCCCTTGACCGGAACCGAACCCAGGACCCTTCAGTCCACAGTCCAACGCTCTATCCACTGAGCCACACTGGCTGGGGCTCATTTTTCTTTTTTAAAAATATATTTTATTGATTTTAGAGAAGAAAGGAGAGGGAGAGAGATAGAAACATCAATGGTAAGAGAGAACCATTGATTGGCTGCCTCCTGCACGCCCCCCTCTGGGGATCAAGCCCGCAACCCAGGCATGTTGCCCTGGCCGGAATCGAACCCAGGACCCCTCAGTCCACAGGCCAACGCTCTATCCACTGAGCCACACTGGCTGGGGCTCATTTTCTTCTCTGCAAACTGGAAGAGCCACCTCACCTGGCTCACCTGCCCGCCTCCCATGCCCAACCTCCTGCTGGGTCAGGCCTGCCCCCGGGTGGACCAAGGGGGAACTGCAGGTGGGCGAGCAGGTCACCTGGCCCTGGGAGCCCTGGAGCCAGGCGGGGACTCCACCTCCCAGCTGCCGAGGAAGTGTCCCCCTGCAGGCGGGGTGGGGTTCTGGGGCTCAGGCCTGGCCCCTCTCCTCTGCTGGAGCCACGGGGTCTGCCTGAGCTCCCCCTGGGCCCTGGCGGCCACGCCTGGCATAGGGTGTTCGGTGGGTGTGGACACCTGCCGGCAGGGCCTCACTCCCTCTGTCCCGGGGGGTCTGGTCCAGAGGGGCCACCCCCACCTGGTCTCTCCCCCTTTCTCGGGCCTCACAGCTCCCGGTCTGCGAGCTGGGATTCACAGCTGCTTGTTTCGGGGGCAGGCTCTGTGGCCCTGCTCTGTGGGGCTCCCCCCAGGTGAGGGGTCCCCTGGGAGCATGGAGCAGGCACAGCTCTCAAATGGATGGACGTGGTCACGAGAAGGGCCTCTCGCCACCGAGAGGGGACTCGGCATCAACAGCTGCTGGTCTGGGGCCGCCCTGAGCCACCCCTCCCCCAGGAGGCCCAGGAGCCCTGTCCCTCCCCTCCCCCCG